TTCATAGCTGTAGATGAGCTCACTGTAATAATGGCATGGTGAAATCCTGAACTGAGTCCTGGAGGCTACCAGTGGTCAAAAGCTGCGACCCACCCCTCAACTCTCAATTCGGGAGCTGCCTGTGGTGCTGGTGCAAAGAGAGAGGAATTTGCCTCAGCGTCACCTGCTGACTCAGGCCAGCTCCTGGTTAGAAGTTTGTCACCTGAATGCGGAAAGGGATGATGGAAGGACAGAGATCAGCTTGTCTCCACATGACCTGCTCCCCCAGGAATAGGTGCTACCTGGTTATGATGTTGTTCCCAAGATTCAATCAGAAAATACATCAAACCTCAGAAAAGGCAAAAGAGATAATGCATGTCCTTTCAGCAGAGGGCTGATGTGATTCTATTGTAGTGTGTGCCTTCATGGTCTCTGATTGACTTTATAACTCTGTAGACGTAGAGGTGACTAAGGCATCTGACTGTCAACCAGAAGGCTGGCAGTTCAAACCCATCAGCCACTCCTCAGAAAGAAGACTGGGAAACCTGTATCCCTCTGATACCGTCTCAGAAACCCAAGGAGGTCTCGCTATGAGTTGGATCCGACTTGATGGCAGTGAGTTTGGTTTTTGGTTTTTTGAGCCTGTAAATCCTTGTAAATCAAATTCTCATTTAAACTACTTGTAATATTTTACTGGATCCCTGTCAGTTAATAAGTTACAGAAAATCTTTGACACATGTTCTTTTTTTTAATATTTGTATGGGGTCATGATTTTACCTTCTTGAAAATTCTACTTGAGTAGGCTTTTAGTCAACTACAAACTTCTCTCACACTTTTCCTCTCCTGCTGCATCCTCTGACCCCACCATGCCCAGGATAAAGCTTGTCCTAGTGTGCTTCTCAGCCAGCCTCTCCCTCCAGACTTCGAGCTCCCAGGGCAAGGCCAGCTCTGATTCTCACTGGATCTTCATAGGTGGGTAGATGCTGCTAACTGAATTATGACTATATGTAGCTTGGACCATAACTCACTGTGGGTTGCCCGGTATATATGAAGGGCAATCCATACTCTTGGCATGACACTTTCAAGCCTCAATTTTTGCATCAGTGAAATGAGGATAATATTCCCCCTGTACCCAACACACAATGGGGGTTCAACAAATGGGAAGGAAGGCTTAAGCACCCCCAGCATATTTTCCATTTTCCTCTTTCAGTTTCTATTCCCACCTCTGACTGCAACACATTTAATCTTGTGTAAATTTTATTTTTAGAACTATAAACAGGTTTACTGAACTTTTGTATTTTTTCCTCAAATTTACTAACATAATTATTTTATGTTATTTTCTCCTTATTTTCTATCTAAAGTTCTATCTAGAGCCTTAAATTACTGGTAAACCATTGGGAGAAAAAGTTATGTGTACTTAGATATATTGTTATCTATCTCCACCTACTTCCCAAAGGATCTCAAGTGGTTTACACTAAAAAACTAGGTAACAATTACTGAGCACTTTCTAGGTACCATTATTCTAAGCTTAAAATCCACAAAATCCCAACAATGCTATGAGGTAGCTGCCATTATTCAAAGATGAGGCAAATGAGGCACAGAGTGGTAGCAACTTGCCTATGGGTGAGAATTATTAAGTGACAGAGCCAAGACTAGAACCCAGGCGTCTGGCTCCAAAGCCCGCACCATTAAACACTACATCATGCTACACTGCCATATAAAACTTCAAACCTAAAGCCAAAAGTCAAATCACAAAGGTTTGGGACAAGCGGCAGAAAACCTCGGTCACAGAGAAGGAAAATTCCTTAATCCAAATATATGCACTTTGAACTGATTCTATTGAAGTTGACTTGAATTATACTAAAAAGAACCCAAACTCACTGCCATCAAGTTGATTCCAACTCATGGTGACCCCCACTGGGTTTCCAAGACTGTAAATATTTACAGAAGTAGACTGCTTCATCTTTCTTCCATGATTCCATGGAGCTGGTGGGTTAGAACCATTAACCTTTTGGTTAACAGCCAAATACATTAATCACTACATCACCAGAGCTTCCTGAATCTTAAATATCTTCCTAATTCTCAGGTAAATGTTTAAATCTTTGGCCACAATATGACAGCAATCATATCTATCACTCTCTCATTGTCAATTGTTGTTGTTACATGTTGTTGAACCAATTCCGACTCACAGTAGTTATGTACAATAAAACAAAAGACTGCATGGTCCCGCCCCATTCTCCCAACTGCTGCTATGCTTGAGCCTACTGTTTCAGTTACTGAATCAATCCATCTCATTGAGAGTCTTTCTATTTTTTGTAACTCTCTGCTTTACCAAATGTGATGCCCTTCTCCAGGGACTGGTTCTTCCTGATAACATGTCCAAAGTAAGTGACATGCCATCCTCATGTCTAAGGAGCATTTCTTCCAAAAGAGATTTGTTCGTTCTTCTGGCAGTGCTTGGGATATCATTATTCTTAATTAGTATCATAATTCAAAGGCACCAATTCTGTTTTGGTCTTCTTTATTCATTGTCCAGCTTTTACACGCATATGAGGTGACTGAAATTACCATGGCTTGGGGTGTATGTTAGTCTTCAAAGTGACATCTTTGCAATTTAACACTTTAAAGAGGGCTTTTGCAGTACATATTTCCAGTGCAATATGTCTTTTATTTCCTGATTGCTGCTTCCATTTGTGTGGATCGTGGATTCCAGTAAAATGAAATCCTTGCCAACTTTAATCTTATCTCTGTTTATCTCGATGTGCTTATTAGGCCAGTTGTAAGGATTTTTATTTTATTTTGAGGTATAATGCATGCTGAAGACTGTAGTCTTTGATCTTCATCAATTAGTGCTTCAAGTCTTCTTCACTTGCAGCAAGCAAAGTTGTGTCATTTGCATATCACAGGAAGTTAATGAGTCCTCCTCCAATCCTGATGCCATATTCTTCTTCATACAGTTCAGGTTTCTAGTTTATATGCTCACTATACACACTGAATATGTATGGTGAAGGGACAGAACTCTGATGTACACCTTTCCTGATTTTAAACCATGCAGTATCTCTTTGTTTTGTTTGAACAACTGCCTCTTGGTCAATGTAGAGGGTCCACATGAGCGCAATTAAGTGTTCTGGAATTCTTATTCTTCACAATCTTATGCAGACTTCTTGTGATCCATACAGCCTTTGCATAGCCAATAAAACACAGGTAAACATCCTTCTGTTATTTTCTGCTTTCAGCCAAGATCCATCTGATGAGAGTAATGATATCCTTAGTTCCACGTCTTCTGAAACTGGCTTGAGTTTCTGGCAGTTCCTTGTCAATGTACTGCTGCAACCATTTTTGAATTATCTTCAACAAATCTTTACTTGTGTGTGACATTAATGATGTTGTTCATTAATTTCCGTATTCTGTTGGGATCATCTTTCTTTGGAATGGGCATATATACGGATCTCCTCCAGGTGGTTGGCCACATAGCTGTCTTCATATTTCTTGGCTAGATAAGTGTGTGCTTGCAGGAATTTTGTAGCATTCCACTGGAATTTTCAATTAGCAAAGAATATATACCAAAACCAGCCTAGAGGAAGGTAGGCCGGTATAATTTTAGTAGTGCTGAAATGACTGTTTACTCAAAATACTGCCTTCTACTGTCTTGTGGACATGTCTAAATATGGAGCATTCAATTTTCAGTTAGGGTAAGCCATTATTGCTCTGAAAAGTTCCAGGTTAAATGCAAGTCACTGCCCGCTCATATTAGGACCTTATTTGTGTATCTGTAGCTAGGCTTGAAGGCTGAGGTTATTAATCCTGCTGCACAACACTGGAAGCTTTTTAGAAATATTGACAGCCTATTCCTACCCCAGACCAACTAATCAGGGATAGGGTAGGGAGAGGACAAGCTATGGTAAATAGACATCAGTTTTTTCTTTTTTTTTTTTAAGTCCCCAAAATTATTTTGACATAAAGCCAGGGTTACAAAACCTGCTTGTGGGGAATGTGATGCCAGGCCAAATGAAATGTTAAAGTGTTCAGGAAAAGTCTGACTTACAGATGCTGCTCAGATAAAGAGGTCTCAGGTAGTATATCAAGAATTAGGTAACTGGGTAACAAGGGAAGCTACTCAGAAATAAGATAATCCAAACAAATGTGGAACACCCAGCTCACAAATTGGAGGTGAGAGACTCTTAGTTGGCTTTAGAATACATGTCAAGCTTTAATTTTCCTTACAGATAATTGCAGCCTTGACACTACACGGTCCCCAACCAAAACACAAAGCTCATTCTTTCAATTGGCAACACATCATACAGCAAGCTTGTGACCACTTATGTTACTCAGTTCTTTCATATGCCCAGCTGAGACAATTCAATACAAATTGGCCACTTATTCTGGCACACATTTTAGGTTCTCTAACAGCTGATATGATCAGAAAAATATCTACCCATTGGTTGAAACTCTCAAAGAAATACTTTCACTTATATTCCCTTAGGTCAACATTAATCACTGCAATAGAAATAAGACTTCTACATTTTCATTTCATTCTGGCATATAAGCCAGAAACCTGAACCAACAATGAAGGTGTTGTCTATTCTATATTACTCAAAGTCCTTTATGTAAATTCTGCTCTATTGTTTAGCAGCTGTGTGATCTTGAGAAGTTAATCTTTCTGGGTCTTGATTTCCTCACCTGTAAAGTATGGGGAATAATACATACCAGGCAGAGGCTTTGTGAAGATTGTAACAAATATGTAAATTATATAGCACAGTGATAAAAACATAGTTGGTATTCAAATTTCAGATAATAGTAATAATAAAAATCAGTGTTTCTTTTCTGAAGAAAATGTATAGTTAAATGATCAGGAATTACTATTTTAAATATAAACTTTTGACTTGAAATCTTTAGAAAATTAAGTTTCAAAATCTTTGGGAAATTATTATACATAATCAAAGCTTAACTGAAGAGCTATGATATATTTTTGTCAAATGCTCAACAGCTCAAAAATTATGGAAATATATTCAACATCTTACCTTTCCATTTCTTGTAGAATGCTTTTGATATCTTTTCCTAACTTAAACTTTTTTCCAAATGGAATGTCAGAAATAATAATATCAATACTTTCTGAAGGCAATGGCAATTCTGAAATATAGAAACCAGAGCATTCTATTACAGTAACTTCAAAAACGTACAATCCAAATAATGAGAAAACTGAAGAATACAGGATTTTTGCATATTAAATGAAATTCAGGGTTGTTAATATTGTGTCTAAGGAATTAACAAGATCCTAAAATGCCTTCTGATTTACTCAAGATTAAAATGTTCCAGTTTCTTGGAAAATTGTTTTTTTTTCTCCACGTATCATAAAGTAATGATAAAACCAAAAACGAAAACCAAAACTGAAAAAAACCCCATTGCCATCGAGTCAATTCCAACGCAAGAGTGATCCCCGTTGGGTTTCTAAGGCGGTAAATCTTTACGGAAGTAGTTTGCCCATCTTCCTTCCACAGGGTGGCTGGTGGGATTGAACTGCCAACCTTCTGGTTAGCAGTCAAATTCCTTAAGCACTATGCCACCAGAGCATGAAAATAATGATACAAGCAGAATTGTTAATTAATCAGAAAACCCAATTCTCTAAACATATTACCTGAATAGAAAGCTGCCCTATCTAAGAAGAAATATATTAAGATGTCTAAAAAAAACCTTTTACAAAATTAATATCTACAACTTTCATTTCCTTTTTCATAGTTACATATAAAAGCTTTCCATGTATATAGATCTATTTGTAAGGAAGTATCCAGAGCTTTCACTACATTTTTAAAAGGGACTTAAAAAAGGTTAACAACATCTATGCACATTCTAAGACCAGAGAAAAGGCAACATATTTAATAATCAACAGAATAAATATTATCAGTAAATAAAATTCAATGTAATGTCTGATTATTATTAAATCTAAATTCTTTTTCATCTAAGCATATTCTTCTCAGAAATTAGATCACAGTAAGGCAAGAGACTCAATCTTAGCATCTATGTTTTCTGAGTTTATTTTCCACTTAATTTCTAACCTCTCATTTACATTAAGTTAGATATTCACAGGGTAGAAGGTATCCCAATTTTCATTTTGAGTTGCCTCTAATTTTGTAGACATGTAATGAAATTTAAATAATCTTTATTATACTAAGAGAAGGAGCTCTGGTGGCCTAGTGCCTAAGGTATTTGACTGCTAACCAGAAGGCTGGCAGTTCAAACCCACCAGCCACTCCTCGGAAGGAAGACTGGGCAATCTACTCCTGTAGTGATAGCGCCTCGGAAACCCAAGGAGGGGTCACTGTGAATTGGATCTGACTACATGGCAGTGAGTTTGGTTTTTGGAGACACTAAGAGAACATATGGCTGCTAACCAGATGGTCAGTGGTTCAAACACAGCAGCCACTCCATGGAAGGAAGATGAAGCTATTTACTTCTGTAAAGATTTCAGTCTCAGAAACCCAATGGGGGTCATTATGAGTCAGAGAGACTTAATGGCAGTGAGTTTGGTTTTTGGTTTTTTT